CAGGAATTCTTTTCAGGTTCCTTGAGCAACAGCAACCAATGAAAAGCCAGAGGAGAGAAAAAGAAACTGCTCCCCTCCCTGTACTTATGACTCCAAGCAACTAGAAAAAGCTTGTCAGGGTGGATACTTACCCGTTCCAGAGTAATTTCTTCATATTCATACTCTGCATCCGTGCCATTGACCTAAAGAGACACAAAAACACCCTTCACACCTCTGCCAACCAATGTTCCCTCTAAGCTGTGGAGTCTTGTGAGCAAAAATTCTAATTCGTGAGCTACTGGCATTAAAATTGTGAGCGAATGATTTGGCTACTGCATAAATTAGATTGCTCTGGAGCCGTCCTTCCTGAGCTAAGATAAAAATCTGTGAGCTGGAGGCTAAAAAACTGTGAGCTAGCTCACACGAACTCAGCTTAGAGGGAACACTGCTGCCAACCCCTCAGGGATCCATCTGCCAGGGAAGCCGCCGCAGAGCCAGGTGGCCAGGGCTGTCTTTCAGGGTGCAAGGGGCCCATCTGGTCCAGAGGCACGGGGACCGGGAGAGGGCTCCTCACGGGGACTGAGCAACAGAAGGCCCCTTCTGTCCTCATCCAGCACAGCTCTTCTCCTTCTGGTGGGGACACGCGGCCACCGGTCCTTCCCGCACAGTCGCTGCCCCTGTTGTGTCAGGCCTCTAAAGCCCTGGGGTCTCCCTAGCAGCTGCCGTAACACGGAAATGGGGCCACACTTCTCTTACATGCCTTCGGCAGCACGTGCAGTAAAGCCGCACAGAACCAAAACCAAGATGTATTCCTGTCCTTGGAGACAACTGGGGTAAATTTCAGTACCGGGGGGAGGGAGCACCGGCAGTGCTACTGAATACTTCAAGGCAACAGGGCTGCACTGCAAAACTCTGTAAAGGATGACAGTGAGACTGGCTGGCTTGAAAACCACCAAATTCTATAAAGCTCTCCCACACTCCTGTTTGCCCACGGCCAGCCAGCCTTCTGGGAATGGTTGTAACTCACGTGCCTGTTGCACAAACAGGGTTTTTGTACAGCAGGCATGAGGCCTATAAAATCGTGGATCTGCTCCAAGTTGCTTTTTAAAAGCCAGCATGATATTTGTGACGTTTCAGACCTCCGGAAGAGCACCCAATTCCAGCAGCCCTACGCGTTTCTTTTAAAGTAATTGCTTCAGAACCCTCCATTGTACGTGATCCAGACCGGAGGCCTTGTTGTTAGTTGTCAGTTTGCCTACTGGGGCTACATTTCAGCTCTTGTTAACTTCACCCAGCTCTGGAGTCAGCACTGAGTGGCAGTTGGGGAGATCGGTGGCTACTAAGCCAGGCCAAACTACGTGGATGCCTTGTCTGGCACAATGGCTATCTTGGGGAATACAGTTATGTCTGATAAAAATACTTCCCAGCTGAAGACTTACATAGGTCGGGGTCTCCGGAGCCTCGGTGTTGACCACCAGTGGGGGGGGATTCGCCTTGGAATTAAAGCAAACACCCACGTAAGAAAGCGCATCCAAAGAAAAGTCACATTTCCCCAGAAATGACTGCTAGCCACCACCACCACCACACACTCTCGTTTGAGAGCTGCTCTGAGCAATTTGCGGGCTGAGAGTATCACTCAAGCGGTTATGATCTTGGGAAGAAACCAGGCATCGACAGCTTCACACTTCAGCTCCCCTCTCCCTACGGATTAGCGCTGCAGCCCCCATCCCCAAGCCAGAGCGCGACAGGCCTCCTTTTGCATTCTCTGCCATTCCAATGTATCTGAGGAAATGTGCCTGGCACGCGAAAGCTCATACCTTGAGAATAAACCTTGGGTGGCCTTAAAGGTGCCTGACTGGACTCAGAATTTGTACTGATGCCTCCCTGCAGTTTGCAGTCCGCCAACCTTCCCAAACCCCTGCAGTTTTGCTCCACCGAGAGGTCAACACACTCAGGGCCTGCGCAAGGCCTGGGCCTCCTCCTCTCTGACTAGCTGACAGGGAAAAGATGGTGTGTTTTCATTTGCAAAAGGAACCGTAAGAAGATGCAGACAAAAGCCAGTTCACATGCACCTCCTTGGGCGCATCTGCCTTGCTTGTGCATGTGGTGGGCAGCCATACGTCAGGTGCCATGCATGCAGAGGGTTAAGCTGTACTGTTATCGCCATGATGGCATTTTCCTGCATCCAATACCTGGGCAGGGAGCATCCCTGGAAAAAAGACAGATATGCCCAGCGGGCCGGGGGGGTGGGGTGAGAACCTGCTCCTAAGCTATGCCACTGACCCCTCAAGGACACACTACGGCCAAGAATGCTTCATTTCAAAGGCAGGTGGGCTGCCCAGCTGGTATAAAGTGGAGCTCAGGCATCCAAATTCAGGAGGGCTCAGGACAGGCCTAGAGAGAACTCAAAGGCATTCCGTTCTACTGAAGCAGAGCTGGCTTCCCCCCCCCCCCCCGTGTCAACAGAAGGAAAACAAAAGAGCACACATGTGGGGCGGTGTTGATCCTACTCTCTAAGGAAAAACGCTAGTAGTCCATGTCCTTCAAATGAGGGGCAAATAATATTTTTAATTATAGGGAGCACCTTTTGGCCTCATGGAGCGTTCCAGGGAAGCTGGTGTTACATAAAAACTCAACCAATATGAAACCATCACAATGACAAACCACCTCTGCTCATCTCTTGCCCTGAGAACCCCACATGAGGTTGCCACAAGTCTGCTGCCACTTGACAGCACTTCCTGCCCCCAAGACAGACTCATCACACCACGTCTCAAAACTCAGGAAAACCCAAGGCAAAAGGAAGGGTGGTGGCAGCAGGACGGCTCTGCATCCGGATGCCTTCTTCACAGAAGGCCCTCCACACTCAGTGTGTAGCAGGATTTTTTGACACCAGGTGAAAGACTGTGAAGACGAACGGGGCGGAAAGGGAAGGTGGGAAGCGGGAGGCAGAGTGCTCGGGAAGCTCTCATCCAAGAGGCCAGCTGGGGCACAACTCCTCAGAGGAAGGATTATCCTGCCTTTTGCACTGTAAAGGAAACGGGACCAGGCAGTCACAGCCTCCTGCCGTCCTGAGAAGCTGACCCTGCTGCTGTGCAGGTCCTTGCATCAGACTTGCCCGAGGGGGGCTGTACAGGACAGTCATCATGGCCGTGCGGACTGTCAACTGCCCGCTTGAAGGTGCATCTGCAGCCTGTCTGAGAAGCCACCTCTGGGTGAAGAACTGGCATGCAGGGCTGGATGCAGGAAGCCACAATTGCCTGAGTTGCTCTGGGGAAGCAACAGAACGCGAACATGCATGCTCTCTCCCTCGATTATTTAAGGTGGCCACTGCCACAGACAGAAGCCGTGAGAACCACCTCAGGAGTCCGAGTGGCTGCCGGGAAGAGAGGCGTACACCACAATAAGCCACTCAGGCTCCCCCCCCCCCAAAGGGCTCCATTCAGACCGGAGCATCCAGGCAAAGCGAGAGCCACGTCGTTCCATGGATGCTGAGACACCGAAGCTTGTGATTCCGAAAGAACCGACATCCCAAACAATGGTGACCCACCACCATAAATGGCAGAACATTTATGCACGTGCTCTCACAGCTCAGATTCCTCAGACAGCTCGTAGCTTCCAGTAGTACAAATGCAAAGCCTGAAAGATCCAAGAAAGGACCACAAGAAATCTGGGAAGCAGGTTCAAAAGCACAGCAAAACCATCGCCATCCGTCAGCAGCACAAAAGTAAGACCCTCCAGCAAGCCCGCAGTCCCTAAGGACGGTCACAGCACCAGCACCACCACGTCTTATTTCTCTCCCACTTGTTTTTTACACAACCCCGGTTACACAACCATCTGAGAGAACGTAACTGCAAATACTTAAATACAGAGTGAGTTAAAAACAACAAGAAGCATGCAAGACAGCGGCTATAAGTGGCAGCTTCCCAGGGAAACTGGGAGGGACAGGAAGACCTGAGATTTAGTTATACCCCAGCCTGGAAATTCACATGCCAGTTAAATCGACAATACCAATTTTTAAAATGCAATATGCGCTAGAGTGTCAAAAGCAACACTGCGGCTCAAATGAATTGTTAGAGCACCCTTAAAGTTAACCAGCACACAAAACAACTGGAAAACCAAAAACAAACAGCCCACCCAAGGCAAAGCAAGCATGCCCAGCTAGCAAAGACCACCTCCGGAAACGTAGCCAGAGAGCAGAAAAACTAAGGGTCATACCTTTTCCCCTTCAGTCTTACTTTACCAGCAGGGCTGCCCTTCTCAGGCAGGGCATCTACCAGGCCAAAACCTGGGCTGCACGCTGGTCTGAAAAGGGTCCGGATAATCTGCCTCCTCTAAAAATACCCAGAATGGGACTTCCGGTTTTGGCTCCCTCAATGGCGGCCACATGCTCCCGGAGCTCTGGGAGACGTGTGCTTGGAATCGGCGGATGGGAGGGGGTGCGATGGTACGCATCCCGCCCCTGGAGCCCTTGCGTTGGGCTCCTAGCTATGGGGCGCTTGGAGGGCCCTTCCTCCGGCAAACAGCTGGCGAAGGGGGGCCAATCCCTGCCCCAACAGTCCTACCGCTGATTTCCAGAAATGGACGTGGGGACGCACACCAGGACAAGCGCTTGGTGGCCAGGCGAGTTAATCGTGAAAGGCGAGTTCTACGCTGAAAAGTGAGTGATTGTAAAAGCGAAGACACCAGAAAGCAAGCTGAAAGCCTCCCCTTAAAAAGAAAAAAACTGATCTGATAAACAAAATTATAAGGGGGCGGATTGCAAAATCGAATTGACTAAAATAAGGAACTTTTGAGAACTTACCAAGCATTTGAAAAGGAGCTTGAGCAGTGTTCCCTCTAAGCTGTGTTAGTGTGAGCTAGCTCACGGTTTTTTAGCCTTCAGCTCACAGACTTTTGTCTCTACTCAGGAAGGAGGGCTCCAGAGCAAACTAATTTATGCAGTAGCCAAATTACTTGCTCACAGCTTTAACGTCAGGAGCTCACAAAGTTGAAGTTTTGCTCACAAGACTCCACAGCTTAGAGGGAACATTGATCTTGAGACTTTGATAACTTTTTCTAAAAAGTAAACAATTCTCAAACATGGCGCCTCCGAGGAGGGAAGAGAAGGATAAGCAACAGAAACTGAAGTTCCCTGCCAGAAATGCCAACCCAGCGAGTTCTGTTCCTAGACAGGACACTACTATAGACTTCCAAAATATGCTGACCAAGGGCTTTGTGCCCTCTGCTGGAACAAATGACATCGTTCCATAAGAAGTTTGATGCACAACAAAGCCAGTTAAATGAAACTACTAAAAAGACAGAGAAAATGGAGCAAGAGCTTAAAGAAGTGGATGCCAACACCCAGAAGCTTAAAAAACAAATGCAGGGGATAGAAAGAAAGAGAGCAACTGACGAGGCTCAACTTTTGCAGCTGCAAATGGAAAAGGCAAGCTATGTCTTAAGATTTCAGGAGGTCCCTGAAGCAAAAGGAGAAGACTTGAAGCAGCTTATATGCGATGTATTGGGTCCGGTTGCAGATTTCAAAGCGGATTTTCTACAAAACGAAATAGATACGATCTATAGATCGTACTCTGACTACATAAGAAAGAATAATTTGCCCAGCGAGATTGTGGTGAGATTCTCCAGGAGACAAGTAAGAGATCAAGTATTGAAAGCAACAAATGGAGCCACCCTGAAAATCAAAGACAAATAAATAAGAGTTTTGAAGGATATTCCATTTGAAGTAAGGAAGAAGAGAAAGAAATACATAGACTTGGTGCTGTTCTTAACAGAAAAACAACGTCCCCTACAGATGGACTGTTCCTGAAGGCATGCTCTTCAAATTTAAAGACAAGAAAGAAAAAATTGACTCTGTTGTAAACGCATGCGAATTTCTACATCAACATGCCAGTCCAGCAGGTGAAGAGGATAAAGTTGAAGATGGCAGCAGCAAGGGAAGTGAAGAAGAAGGAGTACTGGCACTTTCTGATGAGGACTGGGGGTGGCTGCCCCTAAACTGAGCTATCGATTGAGAAACAAAAAGGATAAAAAATGAGTTGTGATTGTTCTCTAGATTCTGTTTTAAATGAATTTAAACCATTTCTCTATAGAGATCTTTATATGGTCAGATTTGTTGAAGACTCTAGTACAAGCAATAAGAATTGTGTACTCCCTTAACGTAGCAAAGTATAATCTTATTTAACTAGAAGCTAATTTTGTAAGCATTGTGAATGACAACACTTTTGGGGTTTTAGTGGTTTTTCTTTACTTTCACCTGTAGTTTGTAGTTACCTTTCCTTGTTTCCTTGTAGTTTATAGAAAATGCAATTAAAAAATCCCCTACGGGGGGGGGGGGGGGGACGGACAAAAAAAATAAAAATACCCAGAATGCCTGGCTACTCCATGCTCCTCAAGCATCTGCACCTCAATGGGATTCTTGCAACCATCCGGCTTCCTTAGGGGAGGCTTCACACAGCCACCTCCTTCAAGGCAGTCAGCCCTGCCTCCGTCTTCA